ACCACACAGAAAAATCAATTCAAGATGGACCAAAGAAGTAAACTTAAAGCCTGAGACTACAAAGTTGCTGGAAGAAAAGTGTAGGGGAAGTACTTGAAGATGTTGTGTAGGGGACAACTTTTTTACAGGTTCCCCAGAAGCAAACAAATGGGACTATGTCAAGCTCAGAAGCTTCTGTAAAGCAGAAAAAACAAGCAATAGAGTGAAGACACATCCAAGAGAATGGGAAAAAAATACTTCCAGGCTTTCTATTCAACAAAGGATTACTATCCAGAATATGCTAATTAACTTAAAAAAAACCCTCAATCACAACAAAATTAACAATCTGGCTAAGAAATGAGCAAATAGGGTCTGGTGCAATAGCCTAGCAGCTAAATTCTCGCCTTGCACACCTGGGATTCTATATGGGTGTCAATTCATGTCCTGGCTGCTCCACTTCCCATCCAGCTCCCTACTTGTGGACTGGGAAAACAGTGGGAACGGTCCCAATGCCTTGGTGCGATCCTGCACCCAACATGGGAACGGGAAGAAGCTCTTGGCTCCTGGCTTTGGATCAGTTTAGCTTTGGCCATTGCAGCCTCCTGGGGAGTGATCCAGCAGCTGGAGGATCTTTGTCTCTCCTTCTCTTTATAAATCTGCCTTTCCAATAAAAATAAATGTCTTTAAAAAACAATAATAATAAATAAATCTTAAAAGTAAAGAGATGGGCAAATAATCAACAGACAGTTCACAGGGAAGAAAAACAACTGGCCAACACATATTAAAAAAAACGCTCAACGTTAGGGAAATGCAAATCAAAGCCACAATGAGGTAACAGCACACTCCTGTCAGAAAGGCTAAAATACAAAACGCAGAGAGTAAGAGACGCTAGCGAGGCTGCGGCAAAAGGGGAACACCTCTGTGCTGGAGGGGATGTACGGTAGTGCGGCCACTGTGGACACCAGGAGTCAAATGGCCAGCAATCAAACCACCGAGTTCATAACCAACAGCAGAAACTCACTGTGTCCAGTTTGCGGCCGCACTCTTCACAACGGCCCAAGACTGGAATCAACCAAGGCGCCCTCCACAAATGCTGGGATAGTGACCATGGGGCGTGTACTCAGGAGCATCCCTCCGCTTTGGCAAAGAATGAAATTCTACCATTGTCTCAACCCGGATGCGACTGGAGGACATCACGCTGAGTAAAACAAGCTGGATCAAGAAAGACAAATACTGCATGTTCTCCCTCTTACGCGGGAGCTTAAATTAAAAAGAAAAAAAATCAAAAGCCAACAACAAAGGTGAAAATGTCTGCATGGTTCATTTCTGCAAATACAGTTTTGTGAAACTTTGTTTTACAGCTCTGACAAGCCGCTGGTTAAAAATTTTATACTACTATAATCTTAGTGATCTGTGATCACTTCTAAGTGTAAATATTGGAGAAAAGGTCATTTTTTCCTCCAATTCAATTACTATGGTTAGCCATCTATATTTGCACTAAACATAGGTCTTTTTGCTTTTTATCTATTAAACTTCATTGGTAAAGCACTAAGCCTTTTTACTGTAATGCAAATTTTAAAAATGCTATGTCAAAAACTAAGAAAAAGAAAATGAACTGTTAGGTCTAAAAGATCCCCGAACCACGGACAGACAGGTTCCACATGCAACAATGCAAAAGCGAGGAGACTTTATTGCTGGCTCGAGCTCGGGTCCATGTCTCATCCATCGCAGTGGTGTCTCGACAAGCACCCCGCTGGTCTCTTGCACTCTTATTTCTCTGCTAGTCACGTACAACACGTCTCCAGCAAGCAGTCCTTGTCTTGGTCACGTATAACTCATACTGGTGCAGGCCACATTCCCATGCAACCCATATGAATGAGGACTAGATTCCATATGCAGACATGCGGATGCCCCTGACTGGCCCATCTCCAAGGTCATTCCCCCCTGCCCACTGCATCACTCTGAGGAAAATGAAACCTTGAAGTGAGACTTAGGCCTACTCCCTGACTTTAGGCCATCATGGCGTCAGTCCTGTTCTTTACGCAGCAAAGCCAAGCAACGATTACAGAAGCCAAATATAGTGGTTATGGTAACAGTTAAGAAACTTCCCTTATCACTACTTAGCACTCTTGTATTCTTACTACTATTATGTTTAACTAGTCTCACCTCTAGACACTAATTTACTATTTAACCCTAATAACCTTTTAACGCTACTGTTGTTAAGAGTAAATCCCTGCCACCCAACCTTATTCCCCTAATTCCACAGAACTATGAGGCAGCGATGGATGCAAGATGTTGATGGGCAGGGGAAAGTTCAAGGCAGGAAGTGAGGAGGGGCAGAGAGAAACGGGACTGGAGGAGAGGCACTGGAGCAGGTAAGCAGCAGCGTGGGACATCCGGCCACTCAGCACGCATGCGCAGACCACACAGTTCCTCTTTAAAGAAGGAAGAAGTAACAGTCAGCTATCAACTCCAAAACCTCACTGGCTGCAGGCTGCCCTCGGCGCCATTACCTTGCCCCACCACAAGCAGCTGCCTGGGGAGAGACTCCTGTCTTCTGACAACGTCTGCAGCTGTGGCTTCCCAGGGCCAAGTCACAGGACAGAGTGAGTCAGAGCAGCCGGGAAGCCCTGGGTGCTTGAGTGAAACACAAAGGGCTGGAGGGTGACAACGCAAGACACAACTGCTGCCACGCCTTCCACACACATGACTGCTGACGCATTGTAAAAAAAAAAAAAGGAAATGCCACCAGCATGCCTGGCTTGCCACTCTTGCAAGTTCTGGCAGAAGTTACTAGTGGCAAAAGTGGAGGGAGTTGGTCGTGGTGCTGTAGTGCACAGAAGTGATGTTACTGACACAAAACCAACCGTCATAACCCACAAACAACACCGCCGAAGGAGCAAGTCTTCCAAACTGTCCTGCCCACTTGGCAACAGGGACTTACTCCCTGTCTGTGTTTTATTACTTCTACTGCATATGTTTTTCACATTTTAACATTTATAAAATTAGTGCTTTCTGCTTTAACTGGCAGCTTTGTTCTTTATTATTGGTGTATAAAATACTGATGCTTCTTATGCATCAGTGTTTCAGGCTTGATAAAATATAGTATTTCTGGGCCTGGCGCTGTGGCCTAGCGGCTAAAGTCCTCGCCTTGAACTCGCCGGGATCCCATATGGGCGCCGGTTCTAATCCTGGCAGCTCCACTTCCCATCCAGCTCCCTGCTTGTGGCCTGGGAAAGCAGTCGAGGACAGCCCAAAGCCTTGGGACTCTGCACCTGTGTGGGAGACTTGGAAGAAGTTCCGGGCTCCTGGCTTTGGATCGGCGTAGCACCAGCTGTTGTGCTCACTTGCTGAGTGAATCATCAGATGGAAGATCTTTCTCTCTGTCTCTTCTCTCTGTATATCTGACTTTGTAGTATAAATTTAAAAAAATCTTTTAAAAAATATATATAGTATTTCTTCTACTTTCACGTCGTCAATATTCTTCAATTCCTTTACTGGTCAACTCCAGACAAAAATAATTTCCTATCATCAGAGTTTACATGAACTGCAACTTAAAAACATTTCTCCCCCCAAGAGAAAAGCCCAGAGCTTTAAAGAAATTAAAATTACTGCTGATTAAACATAATTAGGAAACTTTGCATGTTTTACTTGGAATGCCATTCCTGAAAATGACTGATGATTAGTGTTAACACACTAGATGAAGAAGGAAATAAGCAAATTCACCAATGGCTTCCTAAGATATTTGTTCAATTTTATATAAAGGCAATATTCTTTTACGATTTCCTGAAAGAAGTAATACATAATGCGTATTTTTAAAAGACAGCTAACTTTCTAAGAAGCAATGCTTGAGGATGAAGAGTATGACGAAAGCATTTGCTTATTCTTGTTCCGTGGATTATGTCCCACTATAATTTCAGAATACTCGCTTTTCAAATTAGACATTGTTGGCTGCAGATCCAGGCGGGCACTGCCTTTAACATCCAGCACATGACGCATGCAGTAGATTAGCTTAGGAAGACGATTGACAATAATCACGAGTGAGACCCAAGAAGTCAAAGAGAATTCACACAGTGTAATGGACAGATGGAATGTTCACAGATACCGAGAAGGAAGGCTGTTACTGAAGGCAATCCTTTTAATTCTATAAGCTCCTTCTACAGTTGGACACAATTAGCTAATTCAAATATATTATTTTAAAGCCTAAAGACTAACAGAAAAAATACATAAGAATACATAGTGGTTTCCTTCTTTTTTTTTTTTTAAGGTTTATCAACTCATCTGAAAATCAGAGCTACAGAGAAAGAGGGAGGCAGGTAGAGAGGGAGAGAGAGGGGGAAAGAGAGAGAGAGAGAGAGAGAGAGAGAAGGAAAGAGTCTACTATCTGTTGGTTCAGTCCCTATATGGCTGCAACAATCAGGGCTGGGCCAGGCTGACACCAGGAGCCAGGAGCCAGAAGCTCCTTCCCAGTCTCCCACACTGGTGGCAAGGGCTCAAACACTTGAGCTATGTTCCTTTGCTTTCCCGAGGCTACTTGTAGGGAGTTGGACTGTAAGTGGATCCGCCATATGGAAACTATATGTATGCTGGCACTCTAGGCAGTGGCTTTACTGGTTAGTCAACAACACTGGCTCCCTGTGTTGGTTTCAGAGTTGAATACGTTAAAGTTGACCACGATCCTTGAAGAATTAAGTGTTCATTGTTTCTGAAGTGATGGGAGTTTATTTCTATAATATGTCTTTCTGGACAGCTATTCTAGTGTCTTAGTTCACTACAGCAATACTTTCGTCATTCTTCATACAGCAGAGGCAAACCAGGAATATAGAATGACCTAACTGAAAATATCCAGTCCTGGAATGTAGAATGACGTAACTGCAAACATGCAGTCCTGAAAGGGAAATCCTCTGGTCAAAGGTTTAAACATGAGAGCCAAGTTGTTATGCCAGGTAAACAGGTATACTTTATCAGTTCTTACTAAGGCATTTACTTCTAAGAAGATATGCAAAATATGCGAATGTTACCTCTACGGCTTCCCAGGCCCATTTCCTGTACTTTGGATCATGCGTCAGCCGCCACATGTACATGTACGTCTCAACAACCTCTGGTCGTAAGATGTAGTATTTCTCATTCTGTCTTGTAGCAATGGCTTCAACACCACCATCAAATCTGAAGGCTTCTGGTCCAAGTTTCATGACTGCAGGGCATGTAGTGCATAAATGGGTTATTGTCTTGGGAGACACTTAAGGCTTGTAACTTAAACTAGAAGGTATTCAGCATTCGAGATATATGATCAAAATGATTATTTTAGGAAATCATTATAAACATAGTATGATAGGCAATATTCAATATATTCTTACCATTCATGGTAACAATATTTTTTATTTTTTTTTCTCCACCTAAGCCGTATTTACCCAGCATACACCAAGTAGACATGATGTATCATGGGGCACCTTGTTAGCTGGGAACTCAGTAGCTGAGAATTCTAAGTCAGTGTGTCCCAAAAGCCAGTTACTTAACTCTGTGTTTCAAACTCCCATTTAAAAGACAGTATGGAAGTATGGGAAAGATCAATAATCATTTATCAAAATACTTAGTTTATTTTTGTACTAGGATGGAGATCCTTATCTAATGTAATTAGCTACAGCTGGGGACAGTATATTAGGCTAGTTCAACCCTTTGGGAACTACATTTTTGCTTCTTGATAAACTAAGGATATATATTTTTTTAGGTAGAAAAGCAGTGCCCTATAAAATGAAAATATCAATCTTTATAAGTTTCGCCAGGCCAATGGCCATTCTTTGGATGGCAACAATGACAAAGCTTCCTGTTTGATGAAATCAAAGCAGATGCAAATAGACAGTAAGTGAAGAATATACTCACATGTACGATTGTAAGATTCATGACATGTACGGGCAATTTCAGCCCCGAGTTCAAGATAGTGCTGGGCCAGCCCTTCAGGGGCTCCATCTGCCCCAAGTGCAAACATGCCTCCAGCAAAGCAGGTCAAGTGGCCCATCTTGTGTTCCAGGAGGCCCCCTTTCCACTCTGCAATGTAAGTTAGGCCCCCACTAGATTTGCGGATCAAGTGAGTCTCAATGGCCTAAAAAGAACACATTTAAAAAAAAAACATTATGGAATCTTCAGTTTTACTGAAAATATCACCAATATTAAAATGAAAGAATGAAACAAGATTTACAACTTTAACTGGGTGGTACAAACCCAAGTCAACCTGAAGTTTTATATTACTGATTTTCTAGCCTTTCTTTCATCCATGCCTTATCAGTTAGAACTGATATTGTAAGGCTACTCCAGTTGGATTTGCCTGGCTTGATACCATAACATACATAGTTCTCTTATCCAGAAAGTCATCTCCGTCTCAAAGAAAGACCGAGGATGCAATGGTGACAGCTGGTTTGCTGCATTTTCATTTATACAAACGGAGAGCTAAAACAAGACCCATGCCCAATTACAGATGAAGAACAGAGCCATCGGTGTATAAACTCCAGGCTGGTGGCATATTCTTACTTTCACTCCCTTAGACTTGCAAGCAGAGCCAAACAGAGTCGCAGTGAGGCTGTTCTGGGGTCAGACTACCTTTTCTGTCTGAATTCTGTGGATAATCTTCTGCCTGTATCTGTGAAGTGGTTAGAACTGTAACTGACATTTGATGAAGACTAGTTACCATCCTCATTTACATTTCCAGTGTGGGAAAACACACTATTAAAAGCATACTAGTATGCACTGACTACATTTTTTCAAAAACAAAGATCTTTAAATTTGCTAAAGAAATAACAGTGTTTGTAAAAATGATTATAAAACCTCTTATTTCTCCTGTAGGACTGTTGATGCTCTTAAACTAGATAAAATAAGCCTTATACTTTATTTTCTTAGAGACTGTTTAATTATTCCTTTGAAAGACAGAGTGACACAAAGAGATGGTAAGAAAAAGATAGGGCCCAGTGCAATGACTTGGTTGGTTATTTCTCCACCTTGCAAGCACTGGGATACCGTATGGTCATTGGTTCATGTCCCAGCTGCTTGGCTTCCCATCCTAGCTCCTGCTTATGGCTTAGGATGGCAGTGGAGGATGGCCCAAAGCCTTAAGACCCTCCACCCATGTGGGAGAAATAGAAGAAGCTCTTGGCTCTGGACTGGCTCAGCTCTGGCCATTGCAACTATTTGGGGTGTGAACCAAGATCTTTTCTCTCTGTCTTCTCTCTGTAAATCTTACTTTGCAATATAAATAAATTAATCTTAAAAAAAAAACCGAGAAAGATCGTCCATCTTCTGGTTTATTCTACAGATTCTGACAACATCTAGGGCTGACCAGGAGACTAAATCAGGAGCAGGAACTCTACATGATATGGGTCACAAGCATCCAAGTACTTGAGCCATCACCTGCTGCCTTCTAGAATGCACACTGGTAGGAAGCTGGCATTGTAAATGGAGCTGCAGCATAAGCACAAATGCAGCCGGGCACTCCGATAAGCAATGTTGGAATCCCAGGTGATGCCTTAACTGCTGCACCAAGTGTCCACACAGCCTTACGTTTTACAGAGCAAACATGAATGTTTCAAGTTACTAGTTTCTCATTAGTATAACTGCAAATACTTCCTGTTATCATCCTCATTTACTTCACTAGGGGAACATGGCTATTATTTGGTCTATATGTTTATGCTCGTATCAAATGAGGAACTTGGGCATGGGAATACATTAGACAATTGTATAAATATGAAAAAAAATGGTGATAGGGAAAATGATTGGAAAAGACAGGTAGATGTAACCTTTCTAGTTTTCTTTGGAAGCAAACAAAAGCAAGATGGTAAGAAATGAACATACTACTGTGTTCATTAACTGTTGTTAAGGCAATTTTATTGATGACTTAGTTATTACATTAATATTTCATCCTTATGTAATGCAACTGAACATCTTAGCTATTAACACTTCTCATAACACAAATTACAATAAATTTCTTCAAGCAGAAATTTATTCATCATCCAGGAAATGATTTATTCTACATGGCAAGAGTAATAACTTTTCAGCATGAATCAGAGAAACATTATAACCCTGTTTGGAATCTTGACTAGACACTAGGTTATTTTTGATGTGATTCTGCCCAACTTACTACTTCTCCAACTACTTCTTCCACAGCATTCTGTATTTGGATGGCAGTGGAAATCTGATTTCGTATGATAATAGAAAAACTTAAACAAATAGAAAGAAGAAAAATAGTCCTATGTTGCTCTAAAATATATTTTTTGTGTGTGTGTCAAGGCTACAGAGACTTCATCAGGAAGACAGAATACTGTATATTTTGTGATTTCATCCATCTACATTTGCCAAGGAAGTTACTTTGATGGAAAAATTGTAGAATCTTGAGTGCCTGATACATCTCCTGCCCAGGTATCCTTCACCATTGTGGATACTTAGTGTGGTCTCCACACAGGGCCATAATAGCCAGCTAAAAGTTCAAAGTATTTTGTTGTTAAAATAATCAAAGAAAATTTACCTATCTGTAAGTCACTGCTTTCACAGAACCACACAACCTTAAGTTCAGTAACTTAACCATTCAGAACACTGACGTAAGGGGCCTGGGTGGGAATCTCCTAAAATCAAATGAAAGAGCATTGCTCCAGGGGACAGGGCTGCTTCTCACAATCAGAAGTTCAGTTGTTATAGCTTTGTTCCACAATGGATGGAAAATATTTCTTATTAGAGAAATAGAAAACATTTGCATTTTCTTCATTCTTAATGGATTTTCTTGTCTAAATGCATTCACTAAAACTTGTATGGGTATAGTCTAAAGGTAGAGGAAATATTTCTAAGAATATCTTAAAGTTGTCATTTTTGGAACACAAAGATTTTCATTGGGCCACTGTGAGATGAGAAGTTAAAATGCCTGCCACGATGGTAACTAGAAGATGACTTACCGGCAGGTCATCATACATAGAGAACTCTGTAGGCTAAACTGAAACTTCACAGGGATGAGTAAAATAAATCTACAAGAGGCCACATGGACCAAATCATAGTTTATTTTGGATATTCATCCTGTGATTTAACAAAGGTTGTGCCAAATGAAGGCCGATGTTCTAACCAGGGTGCTTCGTTTCCTGTATGTGCAGTCCTCTGCCTAGTGAGGTTCTCATCTTGGCGGAGAAATAAAGTAATACTCAATGGAGTTAACTGGAGCAAAGTAAGCTACATTTACATTTAAATCAATAAATCAGCATGTGTCAAAAACAGCCAGACCTCTTCTTTCAGAGACCAATTTTAGAATAATGGCTACATCATGTAAAAATAGATTATAAATTTCCGTAATTTCCATATGAATAATTATTGGTTATAAAAATTCTAAGCAGTCAAAAAAGCAGCTAATAGTTTGAGGATTTAGTCATACTTTTACATTAGTTGAGAATCTTTGATCATAATGTCAAAAGAACATACATAAAGTTAACGTGTAAAGTACTTATCAATCACAAAGGAATTTGACCCTAGTCTAAGATTTATTCCTTAAAAATTGGGTACAAAGGCAGGTATTTTACATAAAATAGTCTTCTTGAGTTCATTTAATTTCTAACCTCACTTCATTTTGTGATTGATGCTAAAATGGAGGTGTTCTTAGTTTATTTTTACCTTTTATGGGCTTTGCTAAGTAGTTTCTCAGCTTCCTAACTACGGCCCGGAAATAAACATGTAACCATAGTATGACAATCCCTAATTACATATAAATCCACTGTGGGGAAATAAAGAGGGTTAGGTGTTCACAAAAATTTTTGTCTGAATTGTGATCACAGGCCTAAACCTCTGTTACTGATCAACCTTATCTGTAAAACTGGGTGAATGGCATCTAAAGCATTGTGAGGGAAAACAAAAAAACAAAAAAAACCTCATTTCATTATTCCTCTGAAAGTTTCTACCTAACATAGTCCTGAACATTCAGTAGGCAATTTCTTTTCATTCCTCCTCCATAAAAAAGATTTTCTGTGCACTATTAGTGACCTTCCCGTAAGTCCTGGTTTGTTCGAATGTTACACATTGATGTAACTCCGGAGACAAATGCAGGCAGCCATTGGACCTGTCTGCATTATAAAAACCAATTTCAGAATATAAATTTAGCATTCACTATCCTCCATAATTTTAGTTATAGTTGTAATAAGGGAACTCATAATCATGAAAGAAGAATAGCTCTTTTACAATTAAATGATTCTTTTTTAAAATACTTCTGTATTGACAAGCATTGTACCTATTAATGGGTTGCAGTGTGACACGTCAAGGTGGCTTGGAGTCCCTTTCTTTACTTTTCTCATAACATCTTTTATTCAAACTCTTTATATTTACCTTAATCTTTTCCAGCCTACAGTAATTACTATTCTGCTTTGGGTTCAGATTATGTTTTTAGTTTCCACTTAAGAGGAAAAACACGAGGGGTTTATCTTTCTGTGTCTGGCTTACTGGCTTATTTCACTCCAGGTCCATCCATGAACTGCAAATGACAAAATTTCATTCTTTTTTTCGTAGTCAAAAAATACAAAATTTCCTTATCCATCCATTCATAAGATAAAGATTCAATAAAGAATTATTACTCAAAATATACCAAAAACGCAATAATAAGAAACAACTAATTCAGTTCATAATAACCAAAGGACATGAATAGACAACTTTCAAAGGAAGAAATACAGATGGCCAACAAATACATGAAAAGTATCAGGTCAATGTAAGTCAAAGTCACAATGGGCTATCACCTCATCCATGGTAAAACGGTTGTTACCAGAAAGAAAGTTATAGATAACTGACTCTCCACTGAGGGTTGAACCATGTAAAAAATGTCTAACAACCCTACCAGACTAAACACATTAAGTGTTATCACCTTTGTTATAAAATATGCTGACATTGACTCTATCTAATTGGAAATATTTTGTAACTCACTCATGTTGTATTCCATTATTTTCATTAAAGCTTGATTAATTTACAAGGTACAAATTAGAAATGAGTGGCAAAACGATGTAAATATTGGATTACCTGAACAGCATCAAAATACATCTTCTTGGCTTCTAGATCTGTCTTCTCAGACATTAGCCAGGCCTTTAGCAAATATTCATAGAAGCTGTCTCCAAGTCCTCCAATTGAAACATGATCTAAAAAGAGGTTGAAATGAATTTTAGAGTGAATCAGTCATTAATTCAGATAGTCTGGCAAAAGCCATATCAACATCAAGGATGAAAAACTGCAAAGGGCAACTTGATGTTACATTTAGGTGCCAACAACTTTTTATTTTCAGAAAGATATTCCGAAATGAGCCAATGCACATTAACTAATATAATAAACTATACATAATTACCAGTGTATTCCTTAAAGCATGAAGATAAAAGATATTAACTCATCCCATTCTAAAAATCTGGTTTTCTAGGAATAAACAGAATTAGTTGCTTTACTATACACCATATATTTATATTTATATATACATATACCATATATATCTATACATAAAACAAATATATATAGATAGATAATCTATATATGTACAAATTCTATGTATTTTAGTTCTTAATACTAAATCTGTCAAAACTGAGTATTAGTAAATCTTAAAAAAACCAGTGACTGGCAATAAAACAAGAAGCTTTTTAGGTTCTTGCTCTACAATGATTTTGCAACCATGAAGATAATGATGAAGGAGGTTTTCTGGGGTCAGCTATGTGGAATGATCAGAATAATATGAAAGAAAGAAATTGGGGCAGAAGAAGTTTCTCCTAATACTCCATTCCTACCGTCCACCCCCACTTGCCATTGTTAGGCCACACTGAATATATACATTACCAATACTACTGTAAATGAATGGCATAGACCCTCATTTTAAAGGTGAGAAAATAGGTTTACAGAGGCTAACTAACATGGCAACACTGATTAAGTACTATCTGACTCCACAACCCACAAAGAGTATCCACTGTTTGAATTAGTACTTCTAATTTTCAAGCAAGTTTGCATACAAAAGCAAAAATTCAGTATTAGTAAAATACCCTTTCAAGTTACATAAATTGACACAAACACATCTATTTTTAAACATAAAAACTTTAACTTAATTATGCAAGAGGAAATTAGTGTTCAAAGCTTTAGTGTTCAAGTTTTGTCCAGATGCCTACTCAACAACTCCATTTGTATGTTTAGAAGGGAATCTAAAACTGAACAGGCTAACCACTGAGTTCATCTTGGGCCTACTGTGTTGGTTCAATTGGCTAATCTTACACTTTCAAGTACCGCTGTCCTATTTGGGCAACAGTTTCTGTTCTAGTTGCTCTACTTCTTATCCAGCTTCCTGTTTATGACCTGGGAAAGCAGTTAAGGATGGCCCAAAGCCTTGGAACTCTGCAGCTGCGTGGGAGACCTGGAGTAAGCTCCTGGCTCCTAGCTTCATATCGGCTCAGTTCTGGCTGTTGCGGCCACTTGGGGAGTGAACCAGCAGATGGAAGAGCTTTGCCTCCATCTCTCCTTTTCTCTGGAAATCTGCCTTTCTAATAAAAATAACTCTTTAAAAAATGAATTTATCTTTTCCCCATCAAATTTATCTTCTGCTGTGGTCCTGTCTTCTCATTTGTACATGTTAAGAAGTCAGAAATCAGGTACATAATTACTCTGTTTCTTCCTGATCACTCCCATATCCAAAGAGCCACCTAACTACAGGTTTTACTCCCACTCACCTCTTGAATCCCATCCACTCTGCTCTGTCCTCACAAATTTGGTTCTGGCTCGCGCCTCCGCTGCCTCCTGCCTCAGAGTCTGCAATGACCAGTTTTCAGCTTTCCTGCTTTTGCTCTTACAGAACATGCTGCTTCAGTTTAAATGAACTGAAATTAGATGAAGGATTCAGTTCCTTGAAAGCCACTGCAAGGTTCAGCAGCTGCACGTGGCCCTTGCCTATGATTCTGGATAGGGAAGATTCAGGAAATTTCTACCACTGCACAAAGCTCTGACGGTGGCATCAATATGTCTCCAGATTCATGTCAGAGTAACTCTTCCGCCTTGGGAAGAGGATCATTCCTTTTACTTGAAATCCTCCAAGCTCAGGTATTCGGAGACTTAGGAAGCCTTCCAAGAAAACCCTAAGCTTCCCTTATTCCAGTTGCCTTGCTTGCTATGTTTTCCATCTTCTGTTTCCCCAAACACACGAGGCTCCAAGCCAGCTCAGGGCTTCTAAGGCCTTGTTCTCTGCCGGAAGCACAAATGTCTGGGATCAGTCAGCTTTTCGCCAAAGAAGCCTTCACTGACTGCACTGGAAGGGTCCCGTGTCACATGCTTTTTGATGGTCGGCACATATTTACCATTCTTGCAATTTCTGTACTGTGGTATAATTTGCTTCTGCATGTAGGTACTCACAAAACAATGAGCAAAACTCTTCCAAGTCAACCCTAAAAAGGACTGCATCTATTGAAGATAGAAGGTGTATATTTTTTCCAAAAGATTTATTTGAAAGTACTTTCCACAATTTTCTTGCTGCATAAAATCCAGAACCATGGTTTAAATTTCATATAAAAGTATTTTTGAAGTCAAGCCTGATTCTTAAAATACTAAATTTGAAGAAACCTTTACAGTTTTCTAGACAAATGACGAGAGAAACTTCCGACATTAACAAACTTGAGTAGGTACGATCTCATCAATATAATAAGCCATGTTACTCTAAACACGATTATGGGAGAAAAATGCAAGTGATACATGGGAAAGCAGATCACTGTCCAGTTACTGTCAAAATAACCAAGGACTAAATGAAATAATCAGAAACGATGGCCACGAGCCAGACCTGTCTGTCAGAGTTAAGGCAATGAGAGCTGAAAACTAACAGCCAGAAGCAGCTTGCGACTCACTCTCCTTGGGTTATGACGCAGCAATGGAAGGAAGAAGCAAAGACATTTGGGGGTTTTTGAAAGAGAGAAAATAGTTGCAGCATAAAACACTTGCTTTAATGAATTACCAGTCCTGGCTTTCTTTTAAAATATTCTGCCTATAAAATTTCACATTTGGAAAAGTGAAAAAGAAAAAACAAGAAAAGGAACATAACTGATGAACATGCCACACACTTCGCTTTCCCGAGGTCTGAATGACTATCAACGACAGCATCCTGTGTAAACCTCCCAGTGGGCAAGAGAGAGAACACGCAAGAGCAGGAAAAGGGCTGCCTACTTTTAGAAAGAACATATGCTGGTGGTTTCCTGCCCAACTGCTCTAAAGATAATGTCTACTGCTGTTGGTCAAATATCCTGCTCATCTCTTAAAGGGGTAAGGCCTTGTCTTCTTCCTGATAGTAATTCGTCCCATAAAGGATCCCTGAGGATAGCAGGGGTGGGAACTGGGGAGTGCTGGAGACAGAGGGCAGGCAGCAAGAGAAGGATCACAATATTTTCACTTTGACTTTTTTGCAGCCTTTGTACGAACCTCTCTTTGAAGTAATCCTCCAATGATGCCAGCGACACTACACGGTTTTGCATAAATCAAAGTGCTACGCTAGTTCTGTCTTGCAGACATGAGACTACAGATCTGATGTCAAGGGTTGTAAGACCTACTTATATCATCAGTGGTCAGGACAGGATGCTGCCATTCAGCCACAACTGAGGACTGGGGCAACATTAGTAATGGTGAACAGGACCATTGTTAAAAGCAGGGGTAGAAATATACAGATTGGCTATGGAGCACATGCGTCCTCACAAAATTCAAGTATGCAAAAAGCTACAACCAGGCACAAGACACTGTGTGCTGGGCTAACTAACAGCTATGGCCAAGACACGGTTATCACCCTGAGGGTCCCTACGACGTGGTGTATGTGCGAATAACGAGGTGAAGGACTAAGGCAAGGAATGTGCCCAATGTGCTGATGTGGAGGAGTGGATGACAAATATTTCACAGCCCTAAAGAATAACGTTGGGGGAGAAATGGTCCTTAGGGTAGACCTTGGTAGTGCAGGAGGAAAGACCCAAGAATGGAAGAAGAAGCATAAAGACCTGGATGTGGCCAGATGGGCCATGGCTGCAGACTCAGTGTCCTTTCGTGCTTGTTTTGTGACTGGAACACAGGATGGAAGTTGGAGGAAGAGACAGACACAGGGCTCACCAGTTCTCTTTGCTCTTCCACCAGGAAACTGGCCCGCCAGCAATGCAAATGGAAAGGATTCTGTACCAGAAAACCCGGCCAAACACAGCTTCTCAGCGAGGGAGGGGAAGGCAGGGATGTTCTAGCTCAACTGGCTTCTTCCAGTCCTCTTCACAGTGACTTCTCAGTACCAAATCAGAGCAAGGGGACAGGAAATCAAAGCTGCGGTTCACAGAACTCTGACATCTATTGTAGATTTAGCTGTACCTAGAAAGTTCTGTTTTATCCCCAAATGCAACTGGACAAACGCTTAGCCTCAGAGCATCAACAGCTAGAATGCATCAGCAAATCAAGAGTTGACAGTAAAAAACCGAAATCCCTAGTTTAGTCAAGAAATGGACAAAGGACCTGAAGAGAGAGTTTTCCAAAGAAACACAAATGGCTAACAAATATTTGAAAACATGCTTGCTATCACCAGCCAACAGGAAAACAAAAATGAAAACCACAATGAGATATCATCTCACCATTGTCAGAATGCGTACTGTAAAAAACAAAAAAATACAAAAGCAGCAAAGCCACAGGAACAATTGCTGCTGAGCACGGAAATGACACTTCCTGTGCTAGTTGGGATGCTGCTCAGTGCAGCCATGGCAGAAGACAGTATGAAGATCTCTTAGAAACAAAAACAACAACAAAAAAATAGAAATGAAATTACCACACAATTCAGCAATCTCTCTACTGGGTATATACCTAAGAGACATGAAACTCACTGTATCAAACAGATATGCGTTCTACAATGTTTTAGCAGCACTATTCATAATAGGCAAAAGAAGAATTCAGCCAAGGTATCTCTCACCAGAGGAACAGATAAAGAAAATGTGGGGGCTGGCACTGTGCATAGCATGCTAAGCATCTGCCTGCGGTGCCAGCATCCTATCCAAGTGTGGGCTTGAGGCTGGATATGCCTCCTCTGGTCCTGCTCCCTGCTAATGCATTTGGGAGAGCAGCAGAGCATGGTAGATGACTTTGGGCCCCTGTAGCCACATGGGAGACCTGGAAGAAGTTCCTGGCTCACAGCTCAGCCCAGCTGCGTTCTAGGTATTCTAGGTATTTGAAGAGAGAACCAGAGGATGGAGCATCCCTCTGCCTCTCCTTCTTTCTATAACTCTGCCTTTTAAATTAAAAAAAAACTCTAAAAAAATGTGGTATATATACACAACAGGATGTATTCAGCTATAAAAAAGAATGCTGTCGTGTCATTTGCAGCAAAATCAATAAAATTAGTGGCAATAATGCTGGCAGAAATAAATCAGACACAGAATGATAAACATCACATGTTTTTCCTTATATTTTTGGAGGTAAAGTTAAAGAAAAAAAAAGCCTGAACACAGAATGGGAGAAAAGAACGATATGAAAGATGTTTGGCTTACAAGCACTACGGAAGGGCCTGGCGCAGCAGCCAAGCAGCTAAAGTCCTCAGCTTACACATGTGAGGATCCCAAAGGGGGCTTGTTCATGTCCTGGCCGTCCTGCTTCCCATCCAGCTACCTGCCTGTGGCCTGGGAAAGAAGTCGATGATGGCCCAAAGCCTTGGGACCCTGCACCCACATGGGAGACCCAGAGGAGGCTCTTGGCTTTGGATCAACTCAGCTCTGGACATTGAGGCCACTTGGGAAGTGAATCAGAGGATGGAAATTCTTCCTCTTTCTCTCTCTCCTCCTCTCTGTATATCTGACTTTCCAATAAAAATAAATAACTCTAAAACAATAGGGGAAACTAGGCATGACTCATTAATTGCAACAAAGAGATGTGTGAAGCTGGGGTACGAGATATGTGGGTTCTCTTTGTACTACCACAATTTTCGCTTTGTAAATGTAAAACTACTGTGAAACAAAATGCTAAAAAAAAGCTTTTTCAGTTTCAGCATCTTTAATGCTCTTAGAAACAAATGAGTGATTCAATTTATGTAATGGCTCTTAATATTACACTAAAACTTAAAAACAGAATTTAAAGGTGTTTATTAAGTCATTAGCCATTAGCTATTATATTAACATATATTTACTCTTCACACAATGTTACGTTTTCCAAAACAAAACAAATAGACTGATACCGTTTTACACTTAAAATTTTGTTAACTATTTTCCTTTATTTGAACGTCAAGGACAAAAGGAGAGAGAAATAGAGAGATCTCCCATTTGCTAGTTCACTCCCCAAATGCCCACAATGTCTGGCACTGGGCCAGGTGGTAAGGACCCACATGCTTGTGCCAGCCTGTGTGGCCTTTCAGGACACGCCCTCGCAGGAGGCTGGACTGGACGTGCAGGCGGTGGCTGCACCTGGCTATTCCCTTGTGTGTGGCAAACATCTGAAACGGCATCCTCACTGCTGGAGCCAATGCCTGCCCCAACTGTTGGATATATATATATTTTTTAATTCCTTTAATGTTTGCCTTGGTAAAAGACACCTACATTCTCATATCTGATTCCAACCTACTGCTGACATGTTCTGGCAAAACATAACACTTAAGTCTTACACAGCTTTCCATTCGACAAAAGCAAGAATGCCTTAACAATCTTTTTAAGTAACTGTGGATATTTTTCTTTGACTCTTAGAGAAAATTTCGACAACAGTGGTTGCTAAAAGTTAGTTGTAATGTGGAAATACAAGTTATATCAAAGGACTTTTGTATTATGTTACACTACAATCTGTTGGTGGGACTGCTCTTGTGTAGTGGGTTAAGCTGCCACCCACAAAAAAAAAAAAAAGAAAGACAAAACAAAAACAAAAACAAAATGCACTCATATCTCCTAAGAGCATTAGCTCAAGTCCAGACCACTCCACTTCTAATCCAGCTCCCTCCTCATGTGCCTCGCACAGCAGTGGAGGCCAGGTCAAGTTCCCGGGTGCATGTGACTCACGTGGGAGGCCTGGCAAGCGCTCTCCCTGCCTCTGGTTTCAGTCTGGCCCAGCACTTACTGTTGCAGCCATGTGGGGAGTGCACCACTGAATGGAGGGTTTCTTTCTCCCTGTGTTTCTTTCCTGTCTGTAACTGTGACTTTCAAATACATTTTTTTAAAACTCCTATTGGTCTACCTTGTGATAGTCTTCCTCATGTGTAATTTTGCAGCAGTATGCCTGGGTCATTTAAAAAGTATTAGATCCCTGAATCATGTGGTTCTTCTTAATGTGGACATATTCCATTACACAATATCAAAAACCTCGCTTGTAAATAATCACCATCAGTTTAATCAGAGAAGTTGTCAAGTTCATGGTGACAAATGCAAGCTTCTCCAAATTCCAATTTTTAATTAAAAACTCGAGTTTCATCTTTGTTGGCACAAATACTGACACTTTCCCTCGAAGTGGCAGGCTTATTTACTGACTTCTCAAGTCCAAACATCCAGTTGTTTTTTTTTTTTTTTGACCCATGAAATAGTGTGTGGTTAGTTCAGTTCACAACGAATCCTGGGAAGTTTCCCTTGTCGTGCCTAGTGCTTCTCACCCTGCAGCCAGCATGCTTCCTGTGTATTTTCCATTTCACTGTGTGGAGCGTTACAAAGACACACAGGCAAGGGCTGACATGTACTACAATCAGCAATTTTACCACTTCATCAGTAACATTCAGAAATGAAAACTGCATGTAATTTTTAAGTACAGAGAACAACACGATGTGTATTAATACCATGTGGTGTCTACTTTGGTTCTCACTGGAGCTTTGGCAGTTTTCCTCACATTACTTTTTTGACACTCATAATCATGTTAACATGGTTAAAAAAAAAAAGCAGCATGTGTTGTCATTATTATGAAAATAATGTGACCTTGGAAAGCCCCTGGAAGTTCTCATGTACTTAGTGGTCTAAGTGACACGGGTGGCAGCCTTGACCATGGGCCCAATGCTTCCCCAGGTAAGGCCTCTGCAGTTAGTACCATCACACAAACGTGGGCATTAACTCATTTTTTCCTAATACATTATTCACTGGGAAAAACACTTCCTAAAGTAACTATGAGGCAAAATTATCCAAGAATGAAATTTTTAAGTATAAAGAAAAAGCCCAAATGAGAGTAAAATTTCAAGGCAGCGCTGTTTGCCCTGCCACAGCGAGGTATACCACTTAACATTCTTTATCTGCTTTCAGGTGCTATTTAATCAAACACTGGTTTTCCAGATTTATTTTTAACTAGTTTGAATCTTTTTACTCCTGGTCAAAACTGTCCTAAGAGTATGAAGTGAGGGCTTTTCATATTAAAAATACTTGCATAAGACTTTCTCCTGCCCTGAACGTAACTATATCGCCAATAGATCCTTATTTTCTGACTTAAAATTAAGTAGAGAAAAAGCCTTGATCGCTTTCAGTTTCCAAAATCTTTCTTTTTTAAGATTTATTTATTTTTATTGGAAAGGCAGATATAGAGAGAGGAGGAGGGAGAGGAAGATCTTTTGTCAGATGGTTCACTCCTCAAGTGGCCGCAACGGCTGGAGCTGAGCCAATCCAAAACCAGGAGCTTCTTCCAGGTCTCCCACGCAGGTGCAGGGTCCCAAGGCTTTGGGCCATCCTCGACTGCTTTCCCAGGCCACAAGCAGGGAGCTGGATGGGAAGCGTGGCTGCAGGCACACAAACCGGCACCCATATGGGATCCTGGGCATTCAAGGAGAGGACTTTAACCACTATGCCATTGTGCACAGCCTGTTTCCCAAATCTTAAGATTCACTTGGTTTTCACACTAACCAGCCATACTGAACAAGAAAAACGTGCCAAGAAGTAGAACAATTCACAACTACTCTGTGTACATTCCTTGTGGTCACTGTTAGCTCAAAGGGGTCCCTATGACCAGCTTGTCACAGGTTAACTTTCCTACCTCCTCTCTGATAACAGCCTTTGATGTGCTGTGCTGTCACATCTGCACAGTTATACATGGAAAGGGAACAATCCCGTTTCCTGTTAACTCAGCCTGTCTTATGACAACAGCCTGTTTAGTAAACGGATTGCACATCTCTTTCCCTAAACATTATTCTGAAAGATTTATGCTTTCTTTGTGTTCCATCACATTGCTGTTAGCACAACACTGAGCACCAAAAAGAACCGAAGAAACACTGATGTCTTTACTTACGTTGACCCCACTGCCCACTACTGGGATTCAAGTAGTTGGGATAAAGGCCCTCTGGCTTTTCCAGTTTGTTCAGTACCTTTCGAATATTCATGACCTACAACAGAAAATTGAATGCTCTCAGTGAAGAATCCAAATCCCTTCCCGCTCCGGTTTTCATGTCATTCTTTCATGCTTATATCTTTTCATGTTAGAAACAAATCAACTGATTTGAAAGATTCAGAGTTAGAAAACATAGCCTAAACATATGCATATTTTTATTACGAAATAATTGCAGTTGGTGAATATAGTCACATTGATTAATTATCGACCACATGTTCCACTCCATACTACACAGTGGATAAACAAAACCACAGCCTTGGGTTTCTGCAACCCACTGGTAAGAAAGAGAAAATAAAGTAAATCAAGAGGTTTCAAACACTGCAAAAAAAATAATAAGAGGATGTGATGGGCTAAACGGTGTCACCCACCAACCCCTATGGTGAAGCCCCAACAGGCATGGCGAGACTGCGCAAGAGCTTTGCACACCTGCAGCCAAGTGTAGAAGAGGAACACCTCACGAAGCAGAAACTGCCCCCCTTGTCAAACGCAGACAAGGCAAGGGACACGCGCAGGGAGAAGGACGCCTGGCCTGGGCCACTGTTCACTGTGACAAATGTGGTGGGAGAAAGGCTCAACTGGACAGACTTCAGGAGAACAGGATAAGTGGAGGCTACTCCTTCCAAGAACTGCTGCAAAGAGGAGCTGAAAAGTGTGGCTCCATCTGAGGGCACCGTGCTGACGGAATCCACCCAAACAAGTTGAGGTTTACTTCTTGAAAACTACAAATGAATTCATTTGCCACATCAATATTTTATAAAATACGTAAAAAGTTTTTCCATGTATTTGTCTTTTTAAAGTCTACTTGACACTATATATTTTTAGATAATGGAAAATATTCCAACAGGTGAAGCATTGTAAGCAGGCAGAAAGAGGAAGCCTGGCTCTCCCACCTGGGGTTAGGAAGAGCTATGGAAAGATCATGGGTTTCTATCTGGGTTAAAGGAAGAGCTCTGTTGGCCTTGACTGCTGTGTTAATAACATTGTATGTTACTAAATCACTCAGGGAAGGGTATTTTTTTTCCTCACCCATGCTGTTTTAAGACCTCAAGGTGCTCTGCAGACTCTCACCTTCTCAGCGAAGATGGGGTTTCCTGATAAGTGGCTCAGGTGCATGAACTCCAGATGCAGGGTTCCAAACTCTGCCAGAATGCTGCTGCCTCCGGAGGCCCAGGGCCAGTTTCTTCCAATGCCGCTGGAGAAGAGAATTGGTGGGACGTTATGGCTCAGGAGCACAGAGGCCGCCACGGCTCCAAATAGTAGAAGTGAGGGAGACAGCTTCTTAACAACGGCAGCCCAGCAAATGCTCCACTTGGGTATCCTAACACTGACACTGAAAAAGGAGCACTGGACACTGGCTTTAAGTGTTCCCTCCTGTCTCCAAATTAAAACTTAGTGTTGACTTCAGCCATAAAGACATTTCTGTGAGACTGAAATTGATGAACAAATATTTTGGAAGGCACAGGAGGTACACAGAGACATACGATTCCCAGTAACATATAAAACAAACCCCATCAAAACACCTTGCACCAGCCCCACATTTTAATTAATTTTACTCTGAAAGCCCATGGAATGTTAGACAAGTCATATTCTACAGAAGATTTATTTGGATAGAAGGTAAACATCAAAAATACAATTGTTATTTACTCACTTCACCCTTCCCAAATCCTGGTCCACTTACTAGACTTCCTGTTTGTTCGTCTTCACACTACTTTATGTATTGTCTAAGGATATAGGCACTAACACATTCTTTCATCAAGAATCCCCATAAAATCATAGTGTAAAACTCGGAAAGAAGGCAGTTGTATAACCTTCATTTTTTGCTTTTCAAATGATTTCTTTATTTTTATTGGAAAGGCAGATTTACAGAAAGAAGGAGACACAGAAAGTTTCTGTCCACTGGTTCACTCCCCAGGTGACTGCAATGGCTGGAGCTGAGCAGTCTGAAGCCAGGAGCCAGCATCTTCTTCCAGGTCTCTCACATGGGTGCTGGGTCCCTAGGCCTTGGTCCACACTCTAGCGTTTTCCCAAGCAGGGAGATGGATGGCAACTAGAGCAGCTGGGACATGAACGGGAACCCATAACAGATCCTGGCATGTTCATGGCGAAAATTTAGCCACGGATCTATTGTGCTGGGCTCAAAGGTATAAGCTTTAAAAATGATTGTGTCATGGTTCTGCAGAATTGCTTTTTAAAAATACTTATGAGTGGGCCCAGCAGGATAGCCTAGTGGCTAACATCCTTGCCTTGCATGTGCCAGGATCCCATATGGGCACTCGTTCTAATCCTGCCAGCCCTGCTTCCTATCCATCTATCTATCCAGCCCTACTTCCTATCCGTCCTCTACTGGGAAAACAGTCGAGGACAGAGCCTTGGGACCCTGCATGTGGGAGACCCGGAGGAGGTTCCAGGCTCCTGGCTTCGGACTGGCTCAGATCCGGCCTTGTGGCCAGTTGGGGAATGAATCAGCAGACAGAAGATCTTCCTCTCTGTGTCTTCTCCTCTCTGTATATCTGACTTTGCAATAAAAATAAAATAAATAAAAAACCATGGTGATTGAAAAAAATACTTATGGGCATAGATGTGCACACATATAAAATGACTCTTACTCATCAGCACACTCGTAGGAATTTACTTCTGAAAAACCACTTAAAATTTCAAGAGATATGTGGTAATTTGAATCAATAATAAAGTCCATTATTCTCCTAGCCAATAAATTCTTTTCTAATACCTTACAATCACATTTTGGTTTTAGCGCACAGGTACATTTATGAATGTGTGTATTTGCTAGGGACTAAGCATGGGGCTGGATTACAGACAGGGTTATGATAATAAATCACGGTTTTCTTTTTTCAAAGATCTTACAGTGTAATAGGCTGGAATGATATAAACATGAATAGTTCCAATTGTATGGGGCAAGTGCCACGGTAAAGTGTGACTAGAGAATGCAGTCTAACGCAGTACTCACAGCAATCCCTGAGCAAGAGGAAGAGACTCTGCCTTTTCGTTTTTAAATGTATTTAAGAGGCAGTAACACACACATATCTGCCATCTGCTGCTTCACTCCCCAGAGGCCTGCAATGACTGGGCTAGAGCCAAGCTGTAGCCAAGGGCAAGGAACTCACGTGCATGGCAGGGACCCAGTGACTTGAGGGTCTGGAACTGGAAGGCAGGGCAGGGGTACTCTGACATGAGACACAGGAATCTCACAGGAGAGCCAACAGTGAGTGCCTCCCTCAGTTGATGCCTGAAGCGTAAGTCAGAATTGGTAAGGGAGGGAGGAGGGGCCCAGTCTGTGGGCCTGTGCCGGACCCAGGCAGCTTTGGGCCCTGATGAGTACAGGGAAGAGCAGGTGGTGGACGAGAAAGCTCTAAGCTCGGCTCAGGTCTCCTAGGCTGCTGGGATTCTCACTTCTCTTCTTATTCCAGCTCAACCCTATTTACATGCTGCTCTAGCTGTCCCCTACACCTCTTAATTTACCAAACTGCCTTCTATCAGTCACAACCACAGATTGGGCAATCCCAGTCTCCTGTTGCTGCTGAGCCTGAATCCTGGGCTCGGCTAGCTCCTGCTCCCTGCTTCTTTTCACAGCAAAATCTAGAATTTGTTCAAACACTCAGATGCACAGTGCACCTAATAAAGAGTAAACCAAAAAATAAGATTCAGATACCTGAACATGCACCAAACTTTTTAGGTTCTGGAAATTTGGGTGAGTTTTTATTTTCATGGTTGGTTTCGACAAAAAGAATATTCAAACAATCAAATACACTAAATAGTTAATTTAAAATTTTATGGCTAATGCACACAATAATTGGTCATTTATTTGTCCACAACATACCAGTTTTTTTTTTTTTTGCTGGTTTTTACAAATTTATTTGAAAGGAAGAGAAAGAAGGAGAAGAGGGAAAGAGAGAGCAAGTTGTATCTATTTTTCCCTGGTTCATTCTCTCAACACCTGCTGCGGTTAGGCTGGATCAGCCTGAAACCAGGGTCAAGTTACCCATTGGGGTCTTCCATGCAGGTGGCAGGGACCCAAGTACTCAGACCATTGTGACTGCCTTCGAGGGTGCTCCTGGGCAGGACACTGGAACTGTAGGTGGGGCTGGGGCATAAACTCAGACATTTTGACAAGAGCCCAAGTGTCCTAAGTGGCATCTTTACTGTTATGCCAAATGCCTGCTCCATGAAGTGAAGTCTTTCACTCTAATTGTTTTATCACTGATGAGAGTCTATGATGAAACTCTATGAAGCAAATTAGAACTTTCTGTATCCCGGAGAAACAATGCATGAAGCTGCTACATTAAGGAATGTCAGCGTGAGAGTGGCTGGCGAAGAAAAGAGTGAGCTGAGGACTCCCAGGTGTCTGTCTCTCTCACCCTCCATTCCCCGCCACCTCACCCCCTGCAATGGTCAGGGACTGATGCTTTCAGCGCAAGGGGTTGCAGTGTGTGGTGGCACACTCAGCTAGACAAATAACTCCAAATAACTCAATCCCAGATTATTTTTGTATCCACATATTTGTTCTCTGCCATTAGTGTGGTAAATGAAGTGAAAATCAAAGAAACACTTAAAATTTCTGAATGTGTTAAACATTACGGTTTAAAATGGGTTATATATTCCTCACTTCTCCTTTGAACACATCCATATCTGAAGGAAAGCAGCACTCCTTTCTACCACCATGTAATTCTAGGGGAGCAAGGACATGAAAAGCACTAGCGAAAAAATGTCATGCCAGGAAGCAAATGGTTTAGGACACATAGTGTGTTCTTATGAAAAGATAGCTTCACTTACCATTCATTCAACTTACAGAATTAGTGTGTTTCAATAAAACTGATTACTTACAAGATTAATGGTTGTAATCAGCTTTTAAACATAATTCAGGGAAGGGGCTCAAGAAATCAGTGAGGCCACAACTGTAACTAGATATGCAAGGTCCCTTGCCTTTCAATAGTCTAAACTGCAAAGACCCGCACATTCACGAGGGCAGTGCCCACGGGGCCTCACACGGGTCCTCATGGCTGAGATGCGTGTCTCAGGCAAAAGCTTTGCTTCCCATCCGGCACAGCAGGGTTGCACTGAGTTGACAGCAACTTCTGATTACTCACAAAAAGGAAGATGAACACAAGATCGTGAAGATTCATTTTGTCTCCAAAGTCAACGTCTACTTAACAATCTATGTGTTTGTGAGACTCTAAAGAGAGCAAGCGTTTAATACAAAAAATGGGTTTGTGAAAATGAATTCCGAGGGACTTCTTTCTTAGTCTAGGAATCCGGGCATCACATCATTGTGTAGCTCTAGACCAGGGGAGAGTTAAACCTTTTAAACTTGAGTCTCATTAGTACAATATTTTAAAGGCAGCTGTGATGTTCTTTACTTTAAAAGTATGAATAACATTGTTTTTTAAAGTCTTAAAATAATAGCTGGTGTTAAGGAACTATTAGTTCCATATGAAAGGCATGAAAGAAAGGAATTGAATATTCTGAATTTTGTTATAATGACTACATTTTAAGGCCAAATGAGGAGATGCCATATGGAAATGTATACACAGGCAATTAACACCATCTGGGGAGCTGCCAAGTATTTGGTTCAGAGAATCCTAGTAGAGAATTTCAAACTTTTGTTATCGCTTTAATTTATTTCTGTTTTGTCCAGTGCCTAATTCTTCCATTTTAAACTAGAGTATTAGTTATTATTATATGTTTTAATTTAACTTTTCAGTGCTCTACAAAGGTACTCATTATTTGAAAATAAAACATCACAACAAAAATATCTGGTTTTGGTGGCTACAATTAGAAGCATGTCTTGAAAAGAACTGAGTCCTGAAGATTCTTTTGAAATGGTGGAATGCTGTCTTGTTGCTTCAGAGCCTACAACTGAATGCAGTTTATCAGCAGTGTCAACACACTTCCTCACTCTTCTGTATTGCAAAACAGGAAGGTATAATTATTTACTGACCTCACAGCCCTGACAAATCATGGGTGTTTCATGCCTTCCTTCTCCAGGGAGCGGTTAACAGAGTTAGTGGCACTGTTTTATTCATGTCTAAAATCCATGCTGCTAACAAGTCTGACTCTACTATCACCCTGCATTGCCAGCAGACTCTTTCAAAATAACCTTAAACTGAGGTAACTGAGGGATTGTGTACACGCATTAGTGACTTCCCAACTACCACGTGGAACATTAACACATATTTG